CATTTTTAGGAACCGGAAAATCCTTTACAGCTTTAACTTTTGCTTGGTCCGGTTTTATTCCTTCGTCACTAATTACATGACCTAAAAATAAACATTCCCGTTGCAAATAACTACATTTGTCCGGTTCTATTTTTAGATTGTGTATACGTAATCTCTCAAATACGTCTATTAATTTTTCATTGTGGTCTTGCAAATTTTTAGCATACACTATTATGTCATCCAGGTATACTAAACACTTCATTCCTATTAACCCTGATAATACGTTTGTCATCATTTTTTGAAATGTCGCCGGAGCTGAACTTAGACCCATAACTAATCGTTTAAATTGATAATGCCCTTGTCCCGTCGAAAATGCCGTAAGTTCTTTTGATTCTTTAGCCAAAGGTATTTGGAAATATCCCGATTTCAAATCTATTAAAGTGAACAGTTGACATTGTCCTAATTGGTCTAATATTTCCGTTATATTTGGTAATGGGTGAAATTCGTTTAACGTTACTTCATTAAGTGCCCTAAAATCGATAACTATTCTGAACTTTTGTTTCCCCGAGGCGTCCTCCTTCTTTTTGACTAATATTAATGGTGCGTTAAACGGACTCATTGATCTTTCTATGATTTCGTCTTTCATCATTTGACCTATTTGTTTTTCTATCTCCGGTTGTTGTGAAAATGGTAAACGGTATGGTTTTATATAAATTGGTTTCAAATCTTTAGGAACCTTTATTACGTGTTCTGCTGCCGTAGTACACGTAAGATTATCCCCTTCTAAATAGAAAATGTCCGCGTAATGTTCACATATTTTTACTATCGAATTATATTCGTGAACTTGAAGATGATCAGTACGTATCAACGCCCTAACCCGACGCGAACGTTCAATGTCAATTGTGTTTACACACCGTACGCTATCTGTTGAAACATCCGTGTCGTATGAAATGTTACGCGCTTGTCCTACATTTATTTCCTGCGTCATTTCAGATATATTTAATATGCTTATAGTAATTTTATTGTTTTTGACTGTATTGTAAATGTTCGCGCAATATACGTCCGGTATTAATTCTTGTTTATTTATTAAAATATTTTTATTATTCATTTCTTTATCGGGTATATCGATCTGTACTATGGTTTCTGAGCGCGGTTTTAATGTAAAACAGATATCACTATCGCTTCCTGTTTTATTATTATTTATTGTTAACGTGTTATTAGCGACGTCTATTACTGCGTGGTTTTCAATTAAAAATTTATTACCAATAATCCCGTCTGCCAAAATCGGAAAAATATTATTTACAACATAAAATTGTGTTTCGAATACTTCATTATTAATTATTAATTCTATTTCTGCTTTTCCTATTGTAGTAACTATTTTTTCGTTGATGCCTTTCAAATAAATTTTTTCGTTTTCGTTAATTTCAGTGTTTCCTTTTAATGCATTAATTTTAATTATATTTAGATCCGCCCCAGTATCGACTAATAATTTAATTTGATCCTTATTGAAACTAGGTGATTTTAAAATAATGTGATTGTCTATTAATTTTGCTGTGATGTGGAAAATCCTGTGTGTGGGTCTTGAATTATTTCTTGGACCAATCTGACTCCCACTGGTGATGGTCCGTTGGCGTTTCCCGCCGTGTTTCTTTCATTTCTCTGTTTTGTATAGCAGTTTGAAATTTCATGTCCTATCTTATTACAGTAACTACAATGGACACCCTGAGTATTGTTATTGTCCCTACGAACATTATTGTTGTTGTTCGTATTACGCGTGCCGCCCACACGATTATTGTTGTTCGTATTTTGTGGTGCATTTGATCGATTGCTCCAGCAATCCCGCGCCAAGTGATTAGACTTGCCGCACGTGTAGCACCCTGCGTTATTTCGATTATTATTATTTTGTTGTACATTATTGACATTGAAATTTCGTCCATAGCTGTTTCCGCCTCGATAACCGCCGCGATTAACCGTGCGTGAATCATATCCGCCCCGATTATTATTTCCATAATTACCGCGGTTGTTGTGGTTAACATATCTGTTGTTGTATCCGTTGAAATTATTATTTCTGTGATTTTGATTTGAATTACCGTTTCCTCCACGATTAACTGCGTTGTTACCATCGTTTTGTCGTTTTTCCTCGTAATTGACGCCTGCCTGTTTTCCATTACCAATCTGTCTCTGTAATTTGTCCATTTCTAATTTTGATTCATATTCAAGCATCTCATCGATCGCCGTTTTGAAACATTGTTCCAATGTAGTGGGATTTCGAATTTTTAGTACTGTATATAGGTGATGAGGTAGCCCCGTCATAAATATGATCATTGCCTGTTTCTTTGTTTGTTTTTTCACTATATCTGCCTCGGCCGGAGTTAGACCTACCGTACTTGCCGCGCAGAGTTTATAATATAACTCTTCGATTCTACTAGCGAATTTTGCTACACTTTCTCCCTCGGCCATACGTGCCGTGTTTAAAGCTATTGATAGGGCCCTCTCCGATACTTTTTGTTCGAATGCCCCCTCTAATATTGTTTTTATTGCTCCCCATGTTTCTAAATGTCGATATTTTGTTACTTCCAACGCATTTCCTGTTAACTAAGAAGTAATTATTTTCAATAATATCGGTATTTCTGCATCCGTTGTCTCCTTAATTGCGATTTCACAAATATTTATAAATTCGGCTACGTCCTTTTTGCCCGTGCAAATAGGTATCATAGCAATTGCTTTATCTAAATCCATTTTACTCATTTTTTTCTTAACTACTGATTCTAACTGCACGTGAACTACGCTTGAATCTGACCTAGTACCTAAACTTCCTACGGTTTGTTTTTGTGGCGTGGTACCTATTTGTCCTGTTAAACTACGTGTTCTTACTAATTTTTCCTTAACAATTTTTTTAGCTTTAGTTACTTGTTTCCTAGTTTGTTCTAAAAATTCTTTCTTTACAGCGTCTTTTAAAATTTCCGCTTTTATTTCTTTCCTAGTTTTATATTTTTTAACTTTTATTGAACTGTCCGTAGAACTAGTGTCAATATCTGAACTATCGGATTCTGACATATATTTATCTAGACATTACATATATATAATTTCCAATAATTTGTATCTACTAAATTATTAATTTCCTATCCGCGTAAGTAATTACCAACAGTGTTTACTCTACATATATATACTATTATTAATTATAAATTATTAATACGTAACTACCGTCACCAAAATTCATAATACTTAAAAATTACTACTTATAAAATAACTATCATGCATAAATAATAAAAAAAAGAAATTACGTAAACGCGCGTCGTACGTTGAAATGGATGAGTACCTATCTAATAACACGTAAAACGTTCGACCGCCTATGCTACGTGTTAGAGATGGGCACAACCGACTAGTTTTGACTATCGATTGTCCATCGATAGTTTTGAAAACTACCGAGTGATTTTTCGATTGAATAGATATTATTATTCATCGATAGTTTTTAAAACCATCGAATGAATTACTCGATAGTTTTCATTCGTTAGTGGAACCGACTAGTTTTGACTATCGATAGTTTGGAAAACTATCGAGTGATTTTTCGATTGAATAGATATTAATGATATTATTATTCATCGATTGTTTTTAAAACCATCGAATGAATTACTCGATAGTTTTCATTGATAGTACTGATAGTAGTACACTACTACCAAGTAGCAAATGGCAAATACCAATAGTCAATACCAAACTACCAACTAGTTTTAAACTTTTAAATATTGGAACGAGAAAGTTGGACAAATGGACACTCGAAATGCGTTTAACTTATTAAGTTTCATTATTTTTAAACAACAACGATTTAAACTTATCAGTATTTCAAACATTTATTGCAGTTTCCGCACATAAGTACATAACCTTCCCCTCACCAAAAGGGCCGTTTTTATTTCACAATGACCATTAACATTAACAATGTTCTTATATTTTAGAATACCTAATAAAGTTATAACTAATAACTAGGTAGGGTAGTATAAAATATTGATAAAATATTTAAATAAAATATTAGCAATTTTTAAAAACTCAATTAACTATTTAGCATTTTGTAAAAAGTAAAAACCAAAAGGTGTTATGTTTTAGTTTCTTAAATGTTATGGACATAGGAAGGACATAAGTACTTAATAAGGACTTAATTACTTTAGGTGTATATTAATATTATATTGTTTTAAAAATTAAAACTTACCATGAGCTTTCACAAATCTAATAAAAATAATGTATTTCTCTAGGAATTTTATTAGATATTGTAAAAGAAAATGAAAATAGATGAGGTTACATTTTATGGTAACTGTGATTAGGAAAAACCGAGGGTTTTATAATATGCCGTATATGATTTGTACTTGAGGGACACTAGATAATAGATATATAACTAAACACTATTCACTTATTCAGTACACACATTTTATCCAAACCAGTTGGATATTTTGAGCTTCAACAAAAGAAAAGAAAAAAAAATATTATTTTTATTTTTTAAATATTTAACTTTATTTAGTTTCATATTAGGTTATCATCAGTTTTAAGGGATTCTGATATGTTACAATAATTAAAATTGATACGTGTAGTACTATGTATAATGACAATTGACATTGATTCAAGTTAAAAAAAACTTGTATGCAGGGTGGGCCACGAGCAGGCTGTCAATTATCCACCCCAAATTTCATACTCACCACAGCAATATATATATGTATCATCAACTTAAAACTGCAAATGTATGTGTCAAATTAAGTATCAAACCTTGTTCCAGAGATTTTTTTGAATACAAATTGTACAACCTAGTAAATAGTAAATACCCTTATATGACCTTCCAGAGGTAAAATGTGTTGGACTTTCAAACCAGTTGAATATTATCTGTAAAATAAAAAAATAAAAATTTTTTAACTATAACAAACTTTACTTTAGTTTTCAAATACAAAATATAAATTATACATACCTTTTTTTCATAATAAAATAGATAAATACCTTTTCATAATATATTATTACTTACTTGTGTATCAATAAAAAAAAACTTACATAATATTTTTGTTTAAAAAAATTAATTGATCTACATTTTTGGGTAATAACCTATTGCGCCGAGCGCTTAATATTTGCCCTGCTTTGGAAAAAATTCTCTCTGCTGGCACTGAGGTTGCTGGAATTATAATATATTTTAATGCTATATCACTTAGTGGAGCTAACACAGTCTTGTGGTCATTCCAAAATTCAGCCACATTGCACTTCAAGTCTTGATGAGGCATACTTAAGTATTGCCTCATTAAGGATGTAGCACTACTTCTACTCGTTGTCTGAGACTGGACATTTGAAACTCTAGAATAGAGGAAATTCCACACATTGTCGCCATCGGTGTCAAGATTTACTTCAGACGTATGGGTAGTTTGTTCTGAAATTAAGTAAAATATGATTGTTTAAAATTCTCAACAACTTTGGTTGCAGTTTTTCTACAGAAAGATTTAATCATATCACATTTTAGCTAAATAATATTTTTGTAAAATGTTTAGAATAATGAATTACATTTGGTCTATATATAAGTGATTTATTTTTAAATTATATCATACTAATGTAAATTAGTTCACTAATTAGTAATTATGTTTAATAATATTTCATAAATTTAAGTACAAATATTTATTATTTACCAGTGTTTGAAACATTACTAATTAAAGCAGCTGTTTCAGAAACTAAGCATGTTTCTGCTTCTTTAGCATTTACTTCCAACCCAAACACAACCTTTTTGCACCTCGGATCCAACAATGTAGCCCTAGAAAAATGTGGTGTTAAAGTTTGTTCTTCTAGGCTATCGAAACGCTTGGTAGTATTTTCCATTAATCTATTTTTAATAAATATTCCAAGTTGGGTATTGGGATTTTTTGATGCTAATGAACTTTGCAGACCTATAAATAATGAATGACATTTTGAAGTATTGAATAGAAAACACAAAAGTTAAACACAGAATCATGAAATTAATTACCTCGTATTAATGGTATAACCATTGAAATCATCGGATAATGTTCTGCAGAGAGCTCAACAGTTAACTTATCAAATGGTCTTAGTAATGGTATCATATCCTCAATTATATTCCATTCTTCGGAGCTGAGATTAGTTGGAGCTCCTTTTAAAGTCATCATCACTATGGTGAGTGGTTCTTTAAGTTTAATTAGCCGTTCTAACATGAGAAATGTGCTGTTCCAGCGAGTACGTACATCTTGTTTTAATTTAAGGACCGTTTCGTTTCCAAGTTGCTTCTGTTTTTCGACTAACATTCTGTTACCCACTTCACTTCGCTTAAAAAAACCAACTATGTTACGACACTTCTTAAATATTTTTTTTAGATCACTTTCATCAGTATTGTCATCTGGTCCAATCTCTTCATTATCTGACAATTCTAATGCTTTTTGAACTATTAAATTTAATTTATGCGCAGTACACGGTAAATGTGACAGTCCCATATGCCTGACTGCAGATTTAATATTTGCTCCACCATCCGTTACCACTGCGACAACTTTTTCAAAAATATTCCACTTATTTAATTCTTCGCGCATAATTTCACAAATATTTGCACCAGTATGATTACAGTCTAATTTTTTTGTGCATAACACTAAAGTTTTCAGTTGGGTTTGACTTAGAAAGTGAACGGTCATAGTCAGATATGAATCTGTATTCATTGACGTCCAAATGTCGGTTGTGATAGCTACATGTCTTGCTTCATTTAACAAAGCTTCAACTTTACTTTGGACTGTTGAAAATATTCTAGGTATTATTGTTCTTCCAAGGGATCTCCTACTGGGAATTTCATACCTGTAATAAGTACATTTGTATATTTAGCATTTACCGCAATTTTATTTACTCTAACTGAAACAATTTAAAAAAAAAAAATTGAATATATAGACCATTAAGTCAAGGTTCTGGAACAATATTTGTTTGATACCTAGAGTAATATAATATTGATAATAAATGGTATAATATTTAATATTATGATAGACAATATTTTGATTTGTTAAAAAAATACATTCATCACTCTGCTCAATATCCAAAATTGAAATATTAAAAGTTTTTATTTATTATTTCATAATCACCTGGGGTCCAAAAGCTGTATCATACTACGAAATCCTGAATTTTCAACAATCGAAAGAGGCTGAAGGTCTTCAGCTATCATCTTCACAATAGCTTCATGGAACGCTCTAACTTGATTTTCCGATGGTGTACCAAATCTTAAAGAAAAAAATGAGACATACTGACTACTGAGATAAAATGCCAGACTTAAAATATAACATAACAACATAACATAATATGTGTATAATAACAGTCAATGTTATTACTTATTTTTATAATTTAAACATTGTATTTAAATCAACTACAAAAAATATTGTATGATAATTTGCAATAATACTTATTATCACATATAAACTTGAAATTTAAACCATTGAAAAAGGTTTTGTAATATACTAAGATAAGTATTTATAAAGTCACTTCTTTTTATTTTGAAATACTTCACACTTATGCTGCTGATAAGCCAAACTATTGAATTTTAAGTTTTTTCAACATGTTACTTATATAGCAGACAAAGTCAGTTTTAAAATTGTGTGTTTTGACTTTTGACTGTGAAGTCCTCTTAATAAATAATTGCATTCCAAACCAGTTGGATAATGAATAAACCTGTAAACTAAAAATTAAATATGAGATTTGTAAATAATTAAAATAATTAATTCTTTGTATTTAAGAATACAGTATACAAATCAATATAATATAGATAAAGTAATTATAATAACCTAAATATTTTTACAAAATAGTTAGTGTAAATCCAAGTAAATAGTGATACATGCAACATTTAAGTGAATACTACTTAGTTTTATGTACTACTGACGTTGTAGACTTATTGGCTAGGTTAAGCATAAACATGTACAATATAGCATAATATAGAACAGACAAGCTTTAAAATTTAAATAGAAATCAATGCCAGCATATACACTTAAATTTAATATACAAAAATATATAAAGAAATTTAGTTAGCTTTAAAAAATAAGAAAATACATGTTAACATGGTAATAAGAAAATTGTACTACGTATTGAAAATTTTCAGAAATTAATACAATACTCTTACCTATTAGACAATAAAAGTTGTTTTTGCCTCTTTAATACTGGTTTAACAACACTGGTTACTGCCATAACTGGATTATTACAAGGAGACAAAACACCTGTAGATTGTCGTTCCCCTGATGTTCCTATTTAAAAAAAAGAAATATTTATTTTGAATACTCACAAAGTCACAAACCTTAGCATAAATTATTAATTCCCTTAGAATTGATAACATATAGTATCTAGCATCTACATACTAAATTGTAAAATCTAAATATTTATCACATAGTACATACCAGGTTGATTTCTATCTTCTTCAATCTGTTCAGTCTCAGTGTGTTGTAACTCATCACGGCATAATACAGTAAAATGTTTACGTTTCAAATGGTCTAATAAGTTGGTTGTGCCGTTAGATCTTTTGTACTTGTTATTACAAATCGAACAAGTGGCCACATCAGGAGTATTTGGGTCCCTTCGAAAGTGCTTCCAAACAATAGAAGCGTTTTTCTTAGGATTTGACATTGCTATTTAGTATTTATTTCCTTTGCTTTTTAATTAAATAATTTTTTAATTAATACTAATTAAATAAAATTAATCATTAAACAGTATATTTATATAATTGAAGGGGTCAGTGGATAAAGGTGATAACTCACAATTTTGAAATTATTCAGGAGGACAGTTTTAGTGGCTTTAATATATAAACGTTTGGAACTTTTGAACTGTTCAAATGCTAAGAAATCTTTGAAAACAACAATTATGTATTTTATACTCATAAACAACTCTCTAAAATGTTATACTCCCACTTCTACTCAGGAAAGATCTATACCTAATTTAGTAACTTAACACCTTCATCTACCGAACAAATTAATATAAATAAAATAAAATATGAAACAAAGGTGTTACAAAAACATTAATTTTTATTAAAATATATGAAATATATGAAATATATGAAATATTAATAATAATTATTTTTGTTTACAATATTATAATAACTGTTCATAAAACCATTTGTATTCTTCAGGAACAAACTGTAATTGAGACTTTAAATTCTCAATTTTTTATTAGAAATTGTTGTTGGCTTTATGTGTTCAGTTAATGTAAATTCTTTTGGGGTATTTGTTTTATCTTTAAATATATTTACTGTTAAAAATGGTGTCTCCTCATTCAAATCTTCTTTATATTGATACATTCCAACAGTGGTGACACGTAACCATTTAATTCCATCACGAAAACAAACTTTTTCACCTTCACAGTTTTTTTCTTATTTGTCAAACGTAATTTTATTGCATTATTCTCTATATTCTTAAAATGGTGTTCCATGTCACTAATGACTGTATTTTTCTTTGAAGCTTCTTTTATTATATTTCTGTACTGCTCAGGTGTATAAATATTTTGATGTTTTCTTAATCTCTTTTCAATCCTTCCAAAATCACGATCAGAGTCCAAATATGAATGACCTACCTCTGGAAACTTATGGTCTATAGTATGGAAATAACCTTTCATAATCATATATTGGTACAGACATATAATATTGAAATTTTTATTTTGCCCAGCACATGAGTCAGACCAAATAATAAGGTGTGTTATATTTTTCAAAGCTATAGTTTTCATAATTGTAACAAAATATAACAAACAACTGCCAACTTCATTACTTCCTTTGCCTCCTATATCTTCTGTCCATGTGAACATAAATGGTTGGTGTCCATTGTCCGCAGATAATGTATGAACACCAAAGTTATAGAACCATAATTGGCGAAGATAAAAAGCTTTTGATGTTGAAAGTTTAGGTAGTGGCATAGTTTGTTGCAAGTCCATAGTTAGGTAGCAAATGGTAGAGTCTAGTAATACTTTTTCTTTATCTTTGCGTTGGGCTTCAAATGCATTTTTATATCGTTGAATGTGATTAGTATCACTCACCTGGCCGGAGTCACAACGACTGCATGTGTCACTTTTTGGGTTTCCAAAATTCAAGTTAAACCTAGTACAAAATATATTTCTATAACTTTCTTCTTTTACTAAGTAGGAACTTGACATATTATCTTCTTTGCATTTTTCAGTGTACAATAAATACATTTTTTTTATGTTCAATAACGGTGATAGATATTTCCTGTTGGGGTTATTATTTCTTGAATAATGTGATGACTCAGCAGGAAAACTCTCAATATGATTCATAATGTATTTAAGAGTTAAATCAGATATCCTATTTGGACGATTTTCATGTTTACCTTTTCTATCTAAAGGAGGCGAAACATCACATTTAAGTTGGTTTTGAATCAATTCTATTTTTTTGCGACCAATTTGATAAATTTCACAAAAAGCAGTTTTACATAATTTTATATCCTTTTCTTCAGTTTTGACAAAATACTGGAATGTGTAAGATCTTACTTTCTTTGGTGTACTATTAACTGTTCTACGAGCTGTTTCCAATTTTTTTATACTCTTAAAAATATATGCATTTTTTACATTTACATCCATATTATAATACGCATTAAATAAATTAGTTCTTGATTCAATATCTACATTTGTAGAACATTGCAAACGGCATTGAAGCTGACACAATTGATGTTTGTTAACAGATTTTGCTGGAATAATTTTTCCTTTCTGAGATATATATTCTTTTCCTTCAGATCTCTGTATGGCCGCTTTTTTCTTCTTCCAATTGTCTTTATTTTTCTTTCTTTTCCTACTGTTTTTTTGTTCATTAATTCCATATTCTATTTGTAAATCATCTTGGTTATTATCTATAAAATATTTTTTATAAATAATAGATATATACATATAGAAAATAATAAATAAATTTATTACCTGTGTTAATCAAATGAGGATTATCAAAGTCTAGTCTTCTTACAACTGGTTCTATGAAAGGAGTAATAATGTACTCTTCATTTTCATGAGGAGTTCCTGGTATGATATCAATATTCAGATCTGCAGAGATGAGTATAATATATTGTTAATATATATCTATATGAATATGTTTGAGCTATTACTATTACTAAGGGTGTTGTGGGGTGTATGATATATCAGCCCAAAAGCTATTTTTCTACAATAAAATAAATATTCTTAGTTCAATATACATTACAATTTTTTTAAGTATACTCAAATCACCCTCAAAATAGAGACTAGTTATGCCACGGATTACAACAAATGTATTCCTATAATAATCTGGTTAGAATCATCATTGGATAATAATAATAATATTAATAATTATTTTTTTCTGGTACAGATATTTTTATGTTATTTTATAGAAAATTGGTTAAATTAATTATATATAATATATATAAATATTATTTAAAATTCTACATTTTACCTTTTTAAGTTAAACAAAATAATCTGTGTTACTAAAATAATAAAGTTATAACATTTAACATACCTACACTATTATAAAACAATAATTTACTTAACGAGTAAAAGATATATTTTGCAAACTTGTCACTTAAAAATATATCTATTTAGAATTATATCCATTTTTGTAATGTTCATATTATGCTATTACCTGTATTAATCGAATGAGGATTATCAAAGTCTAGTCTTCTTACAACTGGTTCTATGAAAGGAGTAATAATGTACTCTTCGTTTTCTTGAGGAGTCCCTTGTATGATATTAACATTTGGATCTGTAGAAAAAAGCATCAGTATTATCTATATGAATATGAATATTTTTAAATGTTACTGATATTACAACAAATGTATACCTATAATAATCTGGTTAGGATCATCATTACTTAATTTTATTTCTTTTTGTTCTGATGTAGTTAGTAAATTTGTTATATTATAGATAAAAGAGTTTTCTGTATCAATAGAAGTTTGATATTGAGTATCTAAATAAGTAACAAAATATATTAATAGTAATGATAGTAAAAAAAAAAAGGTGAAATTATTATAATTTGTAATAAACTATATTATATATTAGGTAGGTACTATATAGTAATATTATAATATTTTCTTTTTACCTACTATGTAATATTATATAGCTATATATATAGCCTTTATATATATAAATTATATTAAGTACCAACTTATCGTTTTTACCTATTTCAAGTTGATAATCATTTGATTGTAGTTTATGTACAGTTGTATGATTTGGTCCTTGTGACACTGGACTATTAGGTACAAGACTTATGTTCAACTCATCTAATAAAAATATTAAACTTATTAATATTGTATAATGAGAAATAATGTAGGTACTATATACCGACCATCATGAGAGCCAATGTCTTTCTCTTTTAAAGAATCCGGAAAGTAATATTCATCACTTGAATAATTATTTATATAATCAGAGTCTGTAAAAGAGACCAAACAACAACAAATAATATAATTAAATACAATTTAGGTAATAATAGTAAGTAGGTATGGTAGGATACAAATATTTGAAGTAAGCACTAACCTGTATCACTAAAATTGTAGTACAGTCGATTCCGCTTAATAGAGACACCGGTTAATAAGGACAACCGCTTAATAGGGACAATTCTTCAATTACAAAAACAAATGTATACTTGTAGGATAAACATTCGCCGCTTATTTGGGCCACGAATCCGGATAATTGGGACATTTTTTATCGAGTATATTAATAAATCAATAGTTCAACAATCGTGACGGACTCTCGTAATCGATTATTACATTACATTTTATCTTATTTAACTTTATTTTATCTTATCTTTTATCGTATGTTCAAATGTGATAGTTGTTAAATGTTATTTGGTGCAATGGTGCATCAGTCGTGTTTGTCGCGTGTAGCAACGATGGCTCGTGTACGTAAAGATTTATCGTTTGCTCAAAAATTAGAAATTCTGGACAAAATTAAATTACAGCTACCAGGCTGTAATATACGTCGTCTTTCGGAAATTTTAGGAGTACGGAAATCAACAGTTTTTTTAAATAAGATAAAATACATAATAAAAAAATAAAAAATATGTATATGTAAGTATTTTTATAAATAATTAGGTTAAATCATGTTTTTCTTTTTGTACTATCAAATAATTTCTATAATACATTGTTTGTAATTTGTAATAATAAAAATATATAAAACAATTCAGTTTTTCAACAAATTTATATGTTGGTTTTTGTATTTCGGATTATTAGGACAACCGCTTTATTGGGACAAAATAACACCCAACTGATGTGTCCCAATAAAGCGGAATCGACTGTAGTTTATTTTCTTTTTCTTTTTACGTTTAGCTCGACAGTTAGAAGACGTGTCGTCACTTTCTTCACGAATTAAACTATTTTTTAGTGCTTTTTCAACCAGTAGTTTACTACGAGAAGACGTCATGTTTTATATATTTTACCTTAAACGATAAACGCAAACGAAACATACAATGTAAGAACTGAATCAATCGAATAAAATAATAATTTTTATAATAACCTCAATTTCTTAAATTAAATTAAACAATAATATTATAATGTAACCAACATAACAATAAAATAAAGTCAATGATAATAATTATTGGCGAAGGGCACAATGTAAACAAAATGCAATGGTATTTTTATTTTGTTTTTGGTTTGGTTGTCAACTTTCTTATGGAC